CCCCCCCCCTCCCCTCCCCCAAAAAGAGAAAAAGAAAGAATTCGGGAATTTTTCTTTGTAATTTTTCTTTTCTTTTTAGGTTTGCTAAAAATTTATGCATGTTTCGCGATTTCACGGGTTTTTTCTCGGTGTTGGAGATCTGGCCACTCTTGAAATTGAAACGATATATTTTCCCTCCCCCACTGTGGATGATTTTCACGATTTTTACAATCTTGATTTATGTCGCTTTTACATATTCGCTTTTTAACATTTAGTCCGCTAATAATTATTACGAATAACACCAACGTCAATCGTTATCTCGTCGTTTACTCTCATTATCGCTTATTTCCTCGCTTCGATCGCAACACTTTCGATCGAATTGTCGTCGAATCGGGAATGGCAAAGGTTGGTCGCAAGCGAAATCGTTGTCGTATCGTCATTTTTTCATGACTTTATGACAGATGTTGCCACGGTCGAAAGTTTAAACAGCTTTTCACATTCCCGATTCACGAATTTCGTGGCACGTTTCGTTTAACATTTAACATCGGGAAAACGGTGGATTGCGAGATATTCATCATCATTAATCGCAACCTCATTATTTCTTCGCTTAAGAAAATTCCTCTTCGATTCGAATCGAGAAAAATTAATTTCTATTTTTTTTTTTTTTTTTTTTTTTTAAATAAAAGAATAACATTTTCATTACTCATTCGAACAGTGTGAAACTCATCTAACGTTCGAGCTAAGTAAGAGTTCTCGGCGAAAGTAAGATTTACGATGATCGACATAGAATATCGCGAGTCTTACTTATCGCTCATGCAACTTCAATATCAGGATATCAAAGATGATTCTCGATTGATACTCATGTTGAGTAATTTCTCGGTAAACAGTGCGCATGACACGACCAATATTAACAAATTCCACGCTCTTCCTCGTCGATTTCTATTTTTTTTTTCTTTTTTTAACTTTTTCATTTTCGTTCTCTCGCTGGAAACATGAAAATATCTTGAATTCGAGCACTGATTGGCATCCCGTTGTTTCGGAAAATCTTGAAAAAATAATACACACGCGCGCACGCACACGCACATATACGCACATACACGCACACATATATATGTATGTATACGAGAGAGATCGTGAGATATATATCTGGGCGAGCACTGTTCACCGGGCGTGCAAACTTGTTGTTACACGCACGTAGTATATATGTGTATATATATAGCGTGTATATATATATATATGTATATAACGCATAGCGTTAGATTAAACAGAAAATAGTATTTTATGGTTAACTGGTTAAATACATGTGTTGTTTTGTTTCTTGTCCATGATAGGGACAATGACTTAACGCCTATCGAGGGTGGTCAGCTTTCCAACAACAAAGTGTGCTCCGGACACTCTAGTAACCGTTGTGCGAATAATAGTAATAATAATAATGGTAACAATAACAATAACGTGGGTGGCCCGCTGATGTCCGCGGTGGCGCATCTGAACGGTCAAGTGAGCGGTATGAGTAGCCGGGGGTTGGCGGGCACGTCGTCGCACACCGGTACCGCCGGTGCGACATCCTCGAACTCGATAGTGTTTAGCGCGGCCGAGTCGTGCAACCCCCTGCCGTCGCTAACTACCAGTAATCCGTTCAACCACTTTTCGGGGAACATGGACTTGGAATTCGAGCTGTTCCCCAGTTCCACCTGGGACTTGGACNCAGCAGCGGGTGGGCAGATAGGCCCGAGTCGAGAGCGAGCGGGCCACCGAATTCACGACCATCTTCCCAGCCAGCCCCGACATCTCCGAGTCCCCAGGGAACCTTCTCTAATTCGGCGGTGGCGCCTCACTGCAGTCCCCTACGCGCGTTCAGCCCGACCTCGGCCAACGCCGCTCACACCTTCAGTAATTCCTTCTCCCTCAGTCCGCTTCAGGAATCGACCTCCTCGTTGACGAACAGCGCCGCTAGTAGTAGTGTTAGTGCCAACGGAGCGGCGCCCGGATTGACGCCCAAGAGGCAGGACGAAGGGAAGAGCACCGCCACCGGTTGCCCGACCACCGCCAACCAATCCGTCATCGAGGGAAACAACGGGAGGACCAATCCCGCCTCCGTTGCTGGGACGCCGGCTGTCGCACAAGCACCGACCGCGGCTCAAACTACCGCGACCGTCGTCGAAACTCAGAACAGTGTCGTGTCCACCGAGTCCGGTAGACTGAGAAACTTGTTGACCAAGGGCGGTAGTGCTAGTGAGGAAACTCAGGACAATACGAGTAACGATACCGAGAGCCAAAATAAGCATAGGATATTAAAGATTTTGTTGAATCAACAAGATGAGGACGATTTTCATCCGGAGCATAATAATAAAGTGCGCACGAGTCCTAGCAACATGCCCAAACCGAGCATGGAGCACTCGAAATCGTCGCTTGGGAATAATATGCTGTTACAGGTAAACCACTCGATCATTGCCATTACTTATGCCCGTCGGACTGGTCTCGATATTTCCCTTGCTTTTCTCCAACTTTCTTTCGATTTATTTATATCGGCCGATCGGCCGATATGTCGAGAAACACGTCGATAAGAATCGGTCGATCGATTTATACATTTTTTCCACCCGCTATATATCATCATCGCGCAAATCTTCGTTCTTGTGATTACACCCGATCCAATTTATTTGTTTTTCAAGCTATTGAACGAAAAGAACGACGACGAGGATGAGGAGGCTCGCGCTGGTTTAAAAAAGAGAAACGAACTGTTGCAACAACTTCTCAAAGATCAAGACGATGAGAGGAAAGTACAGGAACAACACGTGAGTAAATCGTATTTTCCATTTTTTACCGTACCGTTTTCTACTCGAGGTATAAAGCCTCTTCTCATCCGTGAAAATAATTCGATGAACGTTTCTCTTACGACGAAACGTGTGATATCGCGTCGAATCCGTTAATCGATTAACCGTACGACGATTCGAACAGTGTAAGCCGCAAAGGGAAGAGGATTCTCTGTTACGAAATCTTGGATTTCGGAACACCACGCCATCGCCGTCTCAATCGGGTGACAACGTTGGACACAGTTCCAGTCAGGTTGGTCAGAAGAGACCCGGCGAAGATGGCGACTTGAACATAGCCGCGAAGCGACCTATGGATGGGTCTCACCAAGTTTCTTCTTCCGGCACGTCCACGAATGCGACCAGCAAGCTCTGGGAGAGGAATAAAATGTTAGCTTCGTTGTTGGCTAAGCAGCCTCCTCAGCCAACCACTATACCGCCAATACCTGCATCTGTGATATCGGCAACACCACAAGTAAATATAATATCGTAATACCCTAATACCTTGCTCAATGTCTCTTCTTTCTTCGTGTTCGTTCTAGAGCTAGAAATAAACGAAAAAAAAAAGAAAAAATCGAATCGTTAATCGTTTTCTCGTTTATCATTTAAGGATAAGCTGGTTCGCATAGGATTGAAATCGCAACAGCCACAGCCACAAACGCAATCTCAATCGCAGCAACAGCAACAGCAGCAGCAGCAGCAACAACAACAACAGCAGCAGCAGCAGCAGCAACAACAACAGCAACAACAGCAGCAGCAGCAGCAACAGCAGCAGCAACCCTGGACAGGTAGCAGTATGCAATCGGTCGGTGGCAATAATACGATTACGACAACCGCAACTTCTGCACGAACACCGCTCCAAACACAGTCGAGACAACTACCTCATCGTCAAACAACCAATACCTACCTCACTCATATGCTAAGTCAGGTAATGATCGATTGATCGTATCCTAAAAGTAATTGGATACGCGATGAAATGAAAATAATTATTGTTGTTTGTTGGCATCTTTTTACAGCAACAAAGACCTCAAATGGGTCAAATGGATTCGGAATTTACGAGCAGCGGAGAGTATCGTCAAACAAGCACGGATCTTAATACTTGGGATAATCAGTCGTCGGATCCCGATCTTTCCGATATTTTGGATCAAGTTATCGAATTCGTTCCGGACGAAGCTATTACAGGTATAGAATTGAGCGTCATTGTCGCTAAACGCACGAATCGTATCTAATCTATATTCGTCTTTTCACATTTTTCACATTTTTTGATTATTCGAAGTACATAACTCTATATACCTTCGCTGTCACGGCGAATAATATTACAAACCTTGCGATTTTGCTTCTTTCTTTGATCGAATTGTTTCTTCGTACAACAGATACATTTGCCATACAGCGATAAGCTAACACACTCGTGGGGAACTATTTGTATTATGCGTTAACCTGTTACGCGTGACAGCGAAAGTAATTACCATTATAGACGATAATTTTTATTCAATAGATTCGTCTGCGATAGCAAATCTCCTAGATGTAACCGAAGCGCCGCAAAACAACGCGATGAACGAGACGATGGCGATAAACGCGATACAGAAGTCGTTGATGTTATGCGAGACTGCCGTAAATCCAACGTCTTCCACCATAACAATTCCTAGCACGCCTCCAGCTTATTCCACCGCAGTAAGTCGATACCCTTTCTGCGCGTACTTTTTATATCTGCGCTCGTAATAATCGTTGGTAATTCCTTTTACCATCGATTACCGTTCCGATAATTTCGATTTGTCGAGTTTGTACTTGTTGCAACTGTGTTATATAACAAGTTATCCTTATATATTAATATTTATGATGTAATTTTAGTTGGGTACCACACCTGTAACGACGAGTCATAGTTACCAGCCACCTCCTATGTATCAGCAACAGCCGAGGATGAGGTTTAACGCGCAACCGGGGATCAGGCAGACGACTGCTCAATTTACGCAACAGCAGCAATTACAATTGCAACAGCAACGGACGAAATTGATACAGCAGCAGCAGCAGCAGCAACAACAATTGAAGCAGAGGTTGCTGCAGCAACAACAGCAACAGCAATTACTCATTCCTTCCAACGCTACAGCTCCGGAACAAATTACTACCATTCACAATATCGATAATCTTCTGAACAATACTGTTGCGCCAAACGTATCGTTACAGGTAATTGTAAAGTAAAAATTATCGATATTATCGATATGTGTGGAACAGAAAGAAAAAATTCTATTTCTCTCGTTCGATCGTTGTTTCCAGCGGTCGAGTGTACCAGATTCACAAGTGTCTCCAGGTTATGGGGGATCCGTCCAGATGCCTTCCGGTCACCGACTTGCACATTCTTATTCTCATCCTTCAACGTTACCACAACAGTAAGTAAACTCGGTGAATTGTTATGTAATTATATAAATTATTATGTTGCTTTTTTATTTATGTAACGATCTTTTTTTTTTTCTTTTCTCCTCCATAGTCCTATCGTAAACAGTAATTTTAACAGTGGTCAACAAGTGTCTGCGGCGGCACGACTCTCGCCTCATTCTTCCGCTGGTATTTTGTCATTTTCGCATCCGCAACCGTTGTCACCACGAGTGACGCAAGTACGTATCAAGAGTCGTTTAATTAGACTAGGCGTCCTAAATGCCTATTGCGTAGTTTCATTTGTATTTTTAAGTTTTATTTTTAATTAATCGAAAGACCGATGCCTAGTTTCTTAAAATAATTTTCTTTCTTTCTTTCTTTCTTTCTTCTTTCCTCCCTCCCCTAATTACGATTAACCACGAATACGAACGTTTAATTTATTTCTTTCACGTTTTATGACAAAGGGCAACTATGGTAATACCCCGAGATTATTCACCGTTAACCAGGTGAGAACGCAGCAACAATCTACCGCCCAGCAACAATTGCAACAACAACAGAGATCGATGCCGTCACCAGGGACTCCGGCATCTGCTCGGCAATCTCCGTTTCCGGCGGAAACTTTCCCTCCACCTACATCTCCCACTGCTACCCAATTTCCACCTGGTCCTAACCCCGGTGCTCCAAATCCTTCTGCCCAATACCGATTGCAACGGACCACGTCTACACCTTCGGCCACGACTCAATTGCCAGGTAGGTTGATATTCCGTTTCAAAATTTTTTTTTTTTTTGCCCTCTACTATTATTGCATATTATCAGTATTTATATCGAGATTTTTTTTTCGCTCATTATTATTAGGTAGTACATTTATTACGTTTCAAATTATATATTGTCGATCGTATAGGTTGTGATATTTTTTTTTTTTATGCGATTGTAAAATGTAAAATTATGCTATTAGTATTTGCGAATTGAATCGTTAAAGAGTTTGTAAACAATTTTTAATGTATAAGATATTTGTGTAATTAATGTTAATTTTAATTTATCTTTATGTATTTCGTACACAACAAAGCGTTCGAAAGTTCAAAAACAGTGATCGCGTTGTGATTTCGTATCGTCGCGTCGTTATTCGTATGTATAATACTCTATATTAGTGCGGTTAATCTTAAGCATTTGTATAAGTAAATATGCATATACGAACGAAAGGTGTGATTTAAACAAATATTTTTTTTTATTAATCTAGGTAAGTATACAAGCGATTATACAAATTATGTGTTTTTGTCCTATATATTCAAAGATAAAACGAGTACGTTTAAATTAGATATTATCAGTCGTTTCTTTAAATTAATAACTTTTATAATATTTTCTCGACAAATATTATTTCGATTAAATTTCTTTACTATAAGTTTAAAGAGAAATTATTAACCATTTAAATGATTTTTAGAATCGATAATTTATCATTATTAGACGAGATATAATTAAAAAATGTATTACGTTGTATTAGAAGAGAGAAAATAATAGGATTTGATATCCGTATCAGCGTTTAAACGAAAGTTATTAAATCATCGATGATCGAAGAAAAGGGTATCGTAATATTATTATACGTATCGAATCTCGAAGCGGAACACGGAGGAAAACTTGATAGAAGCGTTATTACGTTTTTTTGCTATAAGATGGATGGAACAAGAAGATAGACAAGCTTGATGTTGCAGGTGGGGTAGGTTCGCCCCGGCACTACGGCGGAGTGAGTAAGGAACAACCCCTTCTTTCACCTAGTCATCCACATTCGGGTTGCAACCCGGCAACACCGACTCATAATCAACACAACGTAACGAATACCCAACAACACTTCTCCAATCAACAACATTCTTCTATGATATACCACACCGCCAATACTATCAACACAGCTGACATGCAGAACAATCAGTTCTGTTACGATCGGACGACTGTTCCACTCTATTCGTCAGGGCCTGGGGACACGCAGGACGCCAGGCCTTTGCCTCCCGGTAATCCTGTCAATCACCAATTGGGTGGTAAGTCATATGACCACTTAATGTCATGTGACCATCACTTCGTCATCATCACACCCCCTTCCGTATACGCCCTTCTTCTCTGTATCTAAAGTACCCCCCCTCCCTCGTGTCACGAGATCGAGGCTACGATGGCATGAGATATTCATTCCGTTCAACACCGTTCTTTTTTTTTTTCTCTCTCTCTCTTTCTCTTTCTCCTTTCACACGTGGTAAAGATCACGCATCATTCATCATATGTATATCCATCGATGTATCTATTTAAGCGAGTGTAAATATGACGATCATCCAAATCATCATTTAAGCTGCAATATTGTTTTCATACGCTCGATGTCCTCCCTCTATCAAATTTCCTCTTTTATAGTCTCATAGTGGGAAATGGTGCTTGCCGCGTGGCTAATCAAATTCTACGTCGAGTTTCTCGTCATCGAAGTCGCACGAATCACTTCGTCTTCACGAATTCAAAAACGAGAATTCATTCTCGTGCATCGAGGCGTTAATATATCTGTTAATTATCAAGGACATACATCGTTCCTGCTATTCGAATCTTTATCGTTTAATAAAACGTATTCGTATGGTTTCTCTGTGAAAGTTGAACAAATAATCTTTCGTTTTCTTACAGTTTCCAATTATTTTCAAGTGTTTCGCTCGAATTAGAGCTTTGTAACATAAATCTTAGTGAATCATCACTATAATTCTCTTTTCGAATTTTGTCGTGTCTAAGGGAAAATTCAATATATAATAGCATATCTTATCGAAATAGCGTTAAATGTTGCATGATGCTTTTTTGTTCATAGTTCTGTGAATCGGTTATCGTCGTAACTATGGATTGTATTCTTCGTTCACATTATATGAGTATAAAATTGCGAATCGAAGAATATTGACCTTTCTTTCCGTTCTTCTTCTTTCTTTCGTTTAAAAGATACGCATACGTTACTCTTTAAATTTTTATGGATTTAAATTATTTTTCAAACGTTATATAATATATTTTTTAATAATGTTCAATAATGAAAACGAAAACACTAAATATTTATACGGGTAACGTGTTCGAATCTTTTTTAACGCGATTGAAAGAAAAGAAGAGACGACTATCATTAACTGTGAACTAACTTCGACGATTTCACATTCTCATCGTAAAATCCTTTCATTTTGTGAATAATAATTCATACATGTCCCTAATGATTATAACGAAATAATTCTTTCTACGCGAAGAATTTTGTTAAATTCTATTCGAAACATTCGTTCATTCTGTGAAACGTGTCTCGTCCCTTTGGGAGAAACGATCGATCCATCTCCACGTTTTTAAAAATTATGTTGTAACATAGTACAAATTCACCCCCATTTACGTGTTATACCCCTTCTCACACTAATTCCAACGATACAACCGTAATGTTCGATTATGCACTCTACTTCTTTTAGCGATGTAGAGATTACACTTTCCTATGGTGATTGTAGACACTGATGTACTTATATGTAATGACATAGTAGATAAGTCATGTAGGAAAGATTGCCCTTTGTATCATATCTTTTTAGGTATTTCTCTTGTGACCCGTATGCGTTAAAATCACCGTACTGTT